AAATACATATGTACATATTATAGGCATTAGAAATGGTAAGTGTGTGGCAAACTGTTTCCATAAATACATATGTACATATCTTGGGCATTAGAAATGGTAAGTGTGTGGTAGACTGATTCCATAATCGCCTATGCACATATTATAGGCATTAGAAATGGTAAGTGTGTGGTAGACTGATTCCATGAACACAGTAATTTGAAATATCGATTCGCATCACCTGATTTCAAACACGAGTTATCACCAATTAATTGAACATATTAAGGTGCAACACATGTACTGGACCTTATTTCCTCATTAAAACTGCAATATTACGAAAACAAGTATTTTTAGGTTTCATGGTTTGATAGTGTATATTGATAAACACATTAGGCTATAATTTATCATGACATGAACAAGTTCGTGTAACCACAAGTATTCGTTTGGTGAGACAATGATATCGATGATGATGGTTTTGGTGTTTCATCTAACGAATGCCGTGGTGTGTCTTGCAGACGCAAAATGTTGGGTTTATAAACTGTTCTACAGTATAGGGAATCAATACTAAAAATAATGTTTCTGTTCATATTGCATTTTTATAAAGTCAAGTTTCCAATCACGATATCGCCGTAATTTGAATAATACAAATGAATAATAATACATTAAATAAAATATTAAAGCGAGGGACTCGTCGCCTGCGCATGCCTTTTTAGCATGTGTGGTTCTCGTCGATTATAACTCAATTCTCGCGTGTGCGCAGGTGACGACCCTTTCGCTTTAATAAATTTGATTTCAATTTAGGACGAGAGAATGCAGAGGATTAAGATAAATGCTTGGGTCACATTGGTAAGTATCACGTGATGGTAATGATCAAAATTAGAAAAAACTTGTTAAACACACAACACGTAACCGACTGTTACACGAAACGCACAACAAATAATAGATTTTCACGTTAATGATTCCCTGTAATTAAACATTTAATTATTGTAATTATCATAATAATTATCCTCGTTAATTAATAATTCATACATGATAGTTGCCTGTGTGTGAAGCTGATAATTTCAATTTCACACCATATCGTAAAAACTAATATTTAATTCGTGATCAAGTTTTTCTAGATTGTTAAATTGACTATATTTTTTTTTTTATAAAAAAAATGTAAACAATTCAATTCCAACCTTGAATCAAAATAATCAATGACGTGACCAGAGCAAATATACCTGACTTACAGACGTTAGACACACAGAAAATAACCTGACTGAAGTTATTGGAAACATGCAAGGCATATTAATTGATATGAAGGGATGCCTCCAGAGATACGCACTACACTAAAATAACACGGTTTAATAGCATAGCTCTTATTACATGTGTTTAAAACATACTTTTGGGACCAAATAGTTGTCGAGGCTGACATCCAAAGTATTACAAATGTGGCTGATATTGAACACATGGTTTATACTAGATGTCACGTGATTTATAGCTGTGTGTACTGGTGGAAA